GGGTTTTGGAAGTTGCATAAGAGGGTTTCAAGTGGGGGGGTTTTGCAAGCAGGATTAAAAAGAATTTTGTGGGGAGAAAGCCATCCGCGTGTGTGTTGGGCAGAAAAAAGCAAAAGCGGGCGCTGATGGCAATCCGAGCTTGGAGGTAATGAGACATGGGAATAAAAGAGCAGGTCAAGTGATAAGAAACACGAAAGCTTGAGGCATTGCGGATATGTGGTATAAAAAATAATGGACTAGTAGTGATGTGGATGAAGTGGAAATTAAATAGGGTGTCACATTGCCAAATGCAATTTGGGTATAGTTAGGAAGGGGTTTTGGGGGGGGAATTTCTGAGGGGGAAATTGAAATTGCTTTTCAAAAGGAATGGGAGAGGGCAAAGCCCCGGGTATAGATGGTTTTTTACCGGTGGAATTTTATTTTTCGCATTGGGCGTTGATTGGGAAGTTCTGGTAAGATTATTAAATTGTATAAGGAGAAGGGGGAAAGTTGGGGAATAAGCAAATACGCAATTGTGGTGCTGGTCCAGAAAGGCAAGGGCAGCCAGACCTTGGGAAGTATAGGGCAATATCATTGCTCGTCGATATAAGGTTTTCCCCAAAAATTTTGGGTAATGGTGAAATGCGTGGTGGGGGGGTTTTTACCATCACATTTGGGGTTTTTCCCCGGGCAGGTCGTTTTGAAGGTCAGGGGGATTTTAAAAAGTTTTTGGAGTCAAAGGGAGGGGGGAGGGGGCGGTTTTCGGGCCTTTTAGACTGGCGACCCGCCTTGTAAGTGGAAAGAGGTGAAAAGCAGAGATACTTAGGAAAGGGGGGTTTTTTGAAGAAATATTTGGGTGGGGTAAACACGCTGTATAAGGGACCCAAAAGATGAGAGTAAAAATAAATGGGTGTATGGGGAGGATTTGAGATGGGTAAAAGGTTTACGACAAGGGTGCCCTAGTCAAGATCTTATTTGCGTGTTTTCAGGATCCCTTTTTACGGAGGGTTTTGAGAGCACAGTCAATTCCGGGGAGGGAAGGGTAGGGGAAGGGGTGTTGGCCGGCTTTTAATAGGTTATGGGATGATACGCTTTTTGGTGTTAAACCAATGTCTATGAAATTTTGGGAAGAGGGTTGTGCGGGCTTGAACGAGCCACGGGTATAAGGTAAATAGCGAAAAGCAATGACATGGGGTTGGGGACCCCGGAAAGGGGGGGGAAAGGTGACTGTTAAGTGGTTAACCAAATGCGATGTCCCCTTAAAGATTTGTGGTATTATTTTTAGAGACGATTTGGATGTGGGGGGGAGGAAATTCAGTAAGGACGTTGGAAAAGGTCATTGGGTTGGGGGTTTTGAGGCCCCAACATCTCAACCCGGCCCCCAACGTGTGATCGTTGTTAACGTTTTTTGTATGTAAGGTGTGGCATGTTGCGGTGATTTACATTACAGGGACAGCGATCAATGGAATGTTAGGTAACAACCTAACAACCTTTCGGCATTTTATACCATTTTAATGTTCGATCAATGGAATATTGAGACGAGTATTTTCCTTCAGTGGGATCGAGGTGTATTGGTTAAAACCGAGAGGTTGTTATGTAACCTGGTCCGTCGAGGAGGTTGGGATGTTGGACTTAAAGCTTAGGGTAAAATGGTTTTTTTTTTTTTCTTTCTAAATTGGGAGGTTTGGCGTTTGGGTGTGAATGGCGGGAAATAATGGAAGAGGTATATATGAGGTTGAAAAAGTGGTATGGGGGAATGGAACTGAGGGAATGTGAGATTGTACTTACGGGCTTTGGTTGATGGTAGGGAACCGGAAAAACTTCACATAAGGTTTTAAAGTAGGTTATGGGGGGTACGTGGGCAGCTCCTAGTAGAAGGTTTTGTTCCCCATGTACTCGGGGAAAATATTTGGCTCAGATTTAGTAAGTCTGAAATAATGGCCCTAGGGTGCGTGAAAGTCATGCTCCGTTTTTTACATGGTATATTGCCGTCATGGCATACTACGTATCCAGAAGAGTCGTGGAAGGTGGCGGGTGGTTGGGTTTTGTGGAGGAGAAGACCAACAGGCTTTTTATGTTGTCTATTTTTGCGAAGGTTTAAAGATGTTCAGGGGTTGGTTAGTAGGGTGGTACAGGAGGGTGGGGGGGAGAGGGGTGCAGGTCCTGCGTGCGTTAAGTCTCGTCATAAAAAAATCGGTGGATTAGACCAGAAGTTAGACGAGCTTAATTATATTATCTTGGATTAACATTTATATTTCGTGGTAATGAGGGGAAAGGGGGTAAGTGAGGTGAGAAGAGGCGTGTCCTTTTGCAATAACGTTTTTATCGTACAATGGGTGTAGGAAAGGAATTGTATGGGATTGGTGGGATAAGGGTTTTTTGGACAGTTATTAAAAGGCTAACTATTGAAAGCCTTGTGAATTTGTAATAATGTACGGGCATCCGGGTGAAGATTTCCCGTGTAGGATCAAGTTGGGCAAATACTGGCTCCGTCTCTTGGGGGGGGAGGTGTGAGTTGCGTGAATATGAGGTTGGCATGGAAGTATTCTAGTTATGGATGTGTGTTTGTTGATTCTGGAGTTATGTGTTTTTTACTTACTCTAACCTTTTTTGTGTACAGAATGACAAGTGGTGGGGGGCCTGGTGGGGGGAGAGCGAGTAGGTGGGGGAGGGGTTGTTGGGGTATGTTTTTTGAAGCTTTTCTTTTCCTTTTGTGTAAAGACTCGTTATTTCTTGAGTCACAAGTTTTCCTTAGTATTTTTTGTTTTTGATTTTGTTTTATAGGTCCGAATAGGTTTTTACACAACCCTGCATATATATATAATATATATATATATATATAATATATATATAATATATATATATAATAAATATATATATATATATATATATATATATATATAGTTATATAATATAAAATATATATATAAAAATATGCATGTTTTTACCCTCCCTCGTTTACTGTTCCAACCTAGTCTGTGAGTCACCAAAGTATAAAGGGATATAAAACATTTGTACATTACCCTGAGTCGTCCGAATTTATCCTATAGTATATTTCGAAATATTGTGATTGTTTTTTGATTCAACGTAGATCATAGGTATCAAGAAGTGAAACACATATAGAATGGATGGAAATTTGCTGACGAATAATATGATCGTCATTTTATAATATTTATTGATGTTAATGGAATTTGTGTTAAGTATTAATCATTGAATTTGTGTACCCTAAGTTGGAATTTTCCTCCTACAAACAATTGTATATATTGTATGCAAAATACATAACTAATGTTTAAAACATCAATTTAACATTTGTTATGATGTGAATGTTTATTAGGTTTATAATGGGATTAGTGTTTGCAATCCTAATGCGCTAAAGCTAACCTATGACACGTGAGTCTAGACCTCTATCAACATTACATGATTCTATTCATCTACTGAAGGCCCTCTTGAACTCATATAATGACTGCCAACAACAAGCTCATGTGGGAATCCAGGTAAGATACTCAAAAATAGGGACAAAGGGAATTAATGTCCAATTGCAATGGATCCCATCACCCATGGATTACTCCTTCAAGATAAAGTTGATATGTTAGCCAAGAAAGTATCGAGAAGGAGAACGTAGAATAAAACTTGGAATAACTGTGTCTAAGCATTAGGAAATAATATTAGGAGAGAAGTAAATAATGAAAATGATGTTATAGAATTGCAGTTTAGAAGCCTGAGTAGATCTATAACCCTCTATGATAACATGAACGTAGATAAGTGTTTAATGAGCAACTGCAATGTGAACAGAACTGACTGATGTTTGTAGTGGGCCAGGCTTAGGCTTGGTTCTTACAAGTACTTCTGAGCAGTTATTGGGAGACACACAGAGATGATCAAACTAAATGTAAATTATGTGATCAGGCATATGGTCACTATCTTTAACACTATGTGCCATAAATTGTCCACTTAATTGAGGAATAACAGAGAACAGACAGTATATAACCTATGTGACATGTCAAGATATCTTATTAATGGAAAATAAGATACCAATATACTAAGCAAATTTCCTAAATTTGCTTGTAACAGATGAAGTGAAACTATAGATTATGTAGATATAAATCCATATATATCCTGTTAACCACCCTTTGTGGCCCTAGTTCCTATGCCATTTGTGTATCCATATCTCTCCTCGCGCGCTAACCGTCCACAGGATGGATATGGGGTGCACAATAAACTAGCCACTTCGGTGGCAAAAAAATCTTATATTTGTTGCGCAAACAGTTATATCTTTTGGTATTGTGTGTGTTTAGTGAAACGTACATATGCGTTTTATGGTGTGTTTGTCGTATATATCTATTCGTATTAGTTACAAAGATTTTTTCTGGTATTTATGGTGTGTATCTTGGTGTACTCTATAGAATATGTATGGTGATGCTATTTAATTTTTAAGCAGCCTTGTATTTATGATGTTTTAAATAAAATATGAAAAAAAAAATCCCACATTGTTTCTCAATAACATATGCCTCTAATTATTCCATGCATCGACACATAATCATTTCTAAGTTAACTGGAATCATGACGCATGGTGAGAGCTTTGTTTGTAAATACACATCTTGGCCGGTACTCACACACAGTGTAGGCTTTGTTCTCGGCCCCACCCTCACTGGCCGTCTTTCTTCTCATTTTTCTCCACCTGCCATCACTCACCAACATCACAATAGTTCCACTATTTACATTTGAAACGGTGCACTGAAATGTCTTCTCTCGCTGTCAACTGGAATCATCCCAGAGTATATCACACTGATCCTGTTCACAGTCTTAAACCTGTCACCCTCCTTGATCAGGAGTTATCAATTGAAAATCCCAGAGCTAGCCCGCCACACGTCTTGCCATGCCAGTATGGCATGGCAAGACTCATTGTGCGTAGACTCACCTTGTGAGTCTAAGTATAATGTTAAGACCTAGCCAATATATGTATTCCACAAACTTAAATATTTAAGTTTTTCAATAATTCGATTATTCATGTTATTCTTCAGAACTATGTTATTAGGCTGTCGTATAGTGGCGCTGGCGGCAGCTGTGGTAAACTCAGCGTCCATACTTAGTCAAGATGTGGGTGAACCCGTGGAACAGGTGAGTGTGATGGTGAACCAGGTGGTGGAGCAGGTGACCGTGATGGTGAAACAGGTGGTGGAGCATCATCTCTCCAGCTGTCACCTGGTACTTATCACCACTTCTCAACACTCACACATTACCTCCGCAGTACTAAGGTGAGCCATACTGTTACAGTTGGTTTAAATATATGTGTAGTCACATTTAACAAGGCTAGCACATTCACATATTTATTACCTATATTTATTACCTTTCGAGTTTTTCTTTTTTTTTATTTAAAGGATATAATTTTCATGTTTTTAAGTGCCCAACGAATGGTTTCCTATTTATTCATATGAAGCTCATTAACTGCACTGCATATTCCAAATGTAGATCATGTTTGACAATTTTATATACAATATTCTGTTTGTTTTTTAACTTTTTCTCACATATAATTTAACCATACTTTTCTAAATGACGTAGGATCTGCTAATGCAGAAATGACCTTATTTAATTTAATATTGTTATCACACGTTTAGTAACATTTCAAACATTTGCGAACCTCTGAGACATCTTAAAAAACCATTCAGTTCCTGTATGATGGTCTCGCTTAACTCTCAGATTCATTCATAAACTTGTGAGACATGATAGAGAACATAAGCTTCCCTGTTTTGTTGTTTTTCACATATATCCAGTCCCGTTACTGAATCCCAAGTTCATGTTGTAATTATAGTGTTTAATACTCCTTCACCTCCTAAAATCCGAACCCTCAATATGATTTAGGTGCATATATATGTATATACAATTCATGCTGCATTTCTAAATCAGTAAGAAATAGCATTTTAATGATTATTATTGTGCAAGAAAGGTATACAATACCGACAAGATGGAAGTTAAGACACATGTGCAACATCTGGGTATCTGTATTGTAGACGCTTCGCCATCCAGTGGCTTTATCAATACAGATTCTAGGATATAATTAAAAGACAGTAGAACTATATACAAAAGGTGAGGTAATCAGTCCCTCAGCCTTGGAGTTGGTGTTGAGAGCACCGTGGTAGTAGAGATTCTGAAGCAATCAGAATCTCTACTACCACGGTTTCCTCAATACAGATACCCAAATGTTCCACATGTGTCTAATTTATCAACTTCTTTATATAAATCCCAGTAATCTATTTGCCTTATTACGTACGCTTAGGCATTGCTGTCTTGGTTTAAGGCAGTGGTTCCCAAACTGGGGGTAAATTACCCCCTGGGGTAATTTAACCATTTTTGGGGGGTAATGGAGGAGTGACAGAAAAAAGTTATGAATTCTGAAAATCAAAAAAACAATGCGGTACCCGGTATGAGGATTATTGTTAACTTTGTCTTAGTATATAAAGTTGTAAAGTAAACCTATTATAAGTAAGTAATAAAGTTAAACCAAATAACAATAAACATCAAAAACTAATATACAGTATTAGAAAAGAAGAAATATATAGCTAAGTGTGTGGAAACCCAAAAGTATTTTGACAAGTATGCTTCAGGACAAAAGTCACTCAGTAGCCCAGATCGACCTGTCCAGTACGCGTCACTCACTTCCTGAGGCTGCCTCTATTTCACACTGTCAGTTTATCTGTGAGCATCAGCCGAGGTAGACATAAGCTGGTATGAAGCCAAGAATTCCTAAACTAGTTTCAAGTATGCAACTCCATCCATCCCACTGATGTTCTTGACATCTTTGGTAATAGTCATTAGAGATGCACAATGTTCAAATACAATAAATAAAAGAAAATATCTCAAGTGTTTTAATTTAGCCATATATATCAATAATAACAACATTTTGTGAAAGGGGTAACATGCTTTATGTGGCATGTTAAATTGGGTAACTAGCTGAAAAAGTTTGGGAACCACTGGTTTAAGGTTACTGCTTACCATAACTCACAAGTCCTTTTCGCATTCTGTACGGCTAAGTTCAACATTATTGTAAGCTGAATGAATATCAGAATAGTATACAATACCGACAAGTTGGTAAATAAGACACATAGGCAACAGTTAGACAACTTTATTCCGAAACGTTTCGCCTACGCAGTAGGCTTCTTCAGTCGAGTACAGAAAGTAGGCAGGAACAGTAGAGGGATGTGAAGACGATGTAATCATTCCATCACCCTGGAAGTCGTAGATTTGAGGCTGTCAGTCCCTCAACCTGGAGAAGAGTTCTGTTCTATTCCAACCTGTCGCTATTGTATACCATTTGAATATTCACTCATTGGTATACACCGCCAAGGCATGAGAATTCGACTGAAAGTGTTCAAGGAAATGCGAGTGGGAGTCTGAAGCAAGTATGACAGACCTTGGCAGGGAAGGGGCTGAAAAAAAAATCATGGATTTACCGAACAATTTCATTGGTGAAATAAAGTGAATTTGTATCCCTCAGAAGCCTGAGTGAGAGTGTGGAGGCTGGCGTGGTGGTGGAGGCTGGGTTAATGTTCTCCAAGTACCAGCTGGAACAGAAACTGCTTTTTAAGGGTCTGTGGTACGACGTCAGAACTACTTGTCGAGGACTCATCATCGACCTGACTGACATCAACAGCACCAGTCTCGTTCTCAGGTAACTCATACAAATTATTTCAGTAATAAAATATCAGTAAACAGTTTATGCAGAAACAAAAATAATGCAAATATATTAATAAAGAATGTAAGATATATAGAATTTCTTATCATAGTGTTTCAGCTTAAGTTACACTGATTACAACAGATTATGACTTTGATCACTACGTTAACTATTGCTTACTTTCCGATGCATATTTTTATGACATGCATCGGTGCAACGGTTATGCTTCTCTATTCTGAAAAGTTACGCAAATACAGTAGGGTTCTTCATCCAGATACAGAGGAGACAGCAGAAGCAGTAGAGATGTAAAGTCGATGTAATCAGTCCAACATCCCCGAAGACGTAGTTTTGAGGTGGTCAGTCCCTCTGCCTCAAGAACAGTACTTCTCCATAGTCTGAAACAATGTGAGGCTGAGGTAATAGAATGGAGAGTGATAAACTGTCAAAGATGAGGTGCAGACAATCTTGACGCTTCAACCTTGAGTTTGCATCATGGGTAGCCAATCAATACTGAGTAGTGTAGTTATTACATCTTGTCTATATACGTAAGCTGAAGATATAAGACAGATAACATAAAACCTGATGGAAATAAATGGTATAAAATACCGGTACAATGGAAATATAAACACATATGCAGTATAATGTGATCCTTTACTGACAACGTTTCGCCCACACAGTGGGCTTTATCAAGTCACAAACAGATCTACCTGGGTATATGTATGTATAATGTTGGCCAAGACCGGAGTCCTGGCACGGGTCTTAATCTTGCGATGACCCGTCTCTGGCTCCCGAAGGAGAAAGGGTTCTACAATGATGCAACGTATGCTGCTCAAGCACTCTTCTGGTCAGTTCATCTGGTGCGTCTCATAAGCGACAACACCATATGTACTCTTAAATGTGGACACTAGCGAGGAGGAGGATATGTCGTTATCACCGGCAACAGGTTGTCTGGTTCGTTGACTCCATGATGCACTAATATAGCCGCAGTCATTTCTGGGTCATCTTCGGGAGGGGACATCAGTGCTAGTTGCCTGCGAAGTGTCTCACTAACCTCGCACTCCAGTCTTCCATCCCCAACCACAGGACAATGTTCACCTCAGTACATCGATTATGAACATAATGACAGCCTTAAAAGTTCAGGGTAACAGATCAACATTGAACTGGATCACCAGCCACGCTGGCATCTGGAGAAATGAGGCGGCGGATGATGCAGCTAAGGCAGTAACAGAACACCCACATGTTGGGATTACTGTCCCCATCAGCCTACAACAGACCAAACTGGTAGCCGCCAGAGCGATCTCGGACATACAATGCCACCCCACCTCCCTTCCCGATACTTCTATCTACTTGAAACAATTTAAAACCCTGAATGTGACATTCCGCAGGCATGTCCCGACTTTTTGAATTAAACCACTTCTCAGTTCAGGCAAATACATCAATGTTACCTGCACTAGCAACTAATCTCAACTCGTCCATCTTATTCCTAGCACTACGGCTATTAGCATAATAAACATTGAAAGACTCTCCTTTCTCTTTACCCTTCCTGCTCATTTCTGTTTTTCTACTAAACCTATTACTGTCCTTATCACCCAGTGCTACTGGCTTTTCAATATCTACCTTGTTCTGCTTATTAGTTCCCCTAGAACTCATAATATTATTACACTGGGACTTCACTGTTTTCCTGCCAAAACCCATACCAATAACTATTGCTAGTTTAAAGTCCTAACTGCTCCCTCCACTGCAGTTGCCAGTGCTCCCACCCCAGACCTAGATAAGTGAACCCCATCCCTGGCATACATGTCATTTCTGCAATAGAAGAGGTCCCAGTTGTCAATGAATGTTACCGCATTTTCCTTACAGTATTTGTCCAGCCAGCAATTGACACCAATTGCCTTGGACAACCATTCATTTCCAACTCCTCTCCTTGGCAAAATACCACATATGACAGGGTTCCCACCCTTCCTCCTAATTATTTCTATTGCTGACCTATACCTGCTAATCAGGTCTTCACTCCTACGTCTGCCAACATTGTTGCCTCCAGCACTGAGACAGATAATAGGATTGCTAACAATATCCTCCATCCCAGCCCCAGGAAAGCAAACCCCCTGTCTCCTACTCCTGTCCTTCAAGCAGAACGCCCTATCCATGTACCTAACTTAGCTATCCACAACAACAACAATATTCTTACCTTCCTTGATGCCGTTTGTCGTGACGTTCCCAGTAGTCGACTCACATTCGTCGGGTAGCACTGAGAATGTATTAGATGTTTCCACAACAGTTTCCACAGCAGTCTCTTTCTTCTTCATCGTTTCTACCTTTCCATTCGTCTTCTTGATCGTCAACTTCGTTCCCTGCTGTCCAGCCACTGACTAGTTTCCTTTCTTGACCTGAGGACTCAAAACAGGAGGACTACTACGAATCTTCTTGTTTTCCTCGGTCAGTCGCCGAATCTCCATCTTCGCCATCCTCAATTCTTCCTTAAGCTGTTGGTAAAGTTGCTCGATGGAGGGCATCTTGCTTCAATTCGTAGAGAGCGCGCAAACAGGTCTTCACAGAGCTAAGTACACGTCACCACTGAGAGCTAAGTACACGTCGCCACTGTGCTAAGTACACGTCACCACTGCTAAGTACACGTCACTACTGAGCTAAGTACACGTCACCACTGAGCTAAGTACACGTCACCACTGAGCTAAGTACACGTCACCACTGTGCTAAGTACACGTCACCACTGAGCTAAGTACACGTCACCGCTGCTAAGTACACGTCACCACTGAGCTAAGTACACGTCACCACTGAGCTAAGTACACGTCACCACTGAGTTAAGTACACGTCACCACTGAGCTAAGTACACGTCACCACTGAGCTAAGTACACGTCACCACCGAGCTAAGTACACGTCACCACTGAGCTAAGAACACGTCACCACTGAGCTAAGTACACGTCACCACTGAACTAAGTACACGTCACCACTGAGCTAAGTACACGTCACCACTGAGCTAAGTACACGTCATCACTGTGCTAAGTACACGTCACCACTGAGCTAAGTACACGTCACCACTGAGCTAAGTACACGTCACCACTGTGAGGCAGTAGACAGTGATAAAGAATATGATATTGTTTATTTGGATTTTAGTAAAGCCTTCGATAGAGTACCTCACAAGACTCTTAAGAAAAGTGGCAGCTCATGGTATAGGAGGTAAAGTTCTAGTATGGATAGAGGCATGGCTTACCATTAGAAAGCAGAGAGTTTCCATTAATGGAGTCAAATCTGAGTGGGGATTAGTCACTAGTGACATTCCACAAGGATCAGTTTTAGGCCCTCTCTTGTTCATAATTTTCATTAATGACCTTGATGAAGGGATTACGAGTGACATGAGCAAATTTGCTGATGATACAAAGATAGGCCATATGATTCATTCTGAGGAGGATATCAATGAACTCCAGGAGGATTTGGACAAATTAATGTCTTGGTCTGAAAAATGGCAGATGAAGTTCAATGTGGATAAGTGTTAGGTACTTGCCCTTGGTAATGAAAATAACCCTTGAAGCTATGAACTAGGTGAAGTAGAGCTTGATCATACAGAATGTGAAAAAGACTTGGAAGTCATGGGAAGCAGAAATCTAAAGCCAAGACAGCAGTGCCTAAGTGTGCGCAACAAGGCTAACAGATTACTTGGAATTATAGTATAAACCTTGGTAATAAATACCGACAAGTTGGCATTCTTCAGGTCACTATGTGTCACTCACACCTCACTCTCCGCCTGTATATAATGTCTTTCTACCTTTGTATGTTAGAAGTGATCAAGGTCCCAGGACCGAAACGTTTTCTAATAAATATGTCATAGTGTTTGCTTATGTGTCTTTCTAAACCAACTTGGAATTATCTCAAGAAGTGTAAGTAACAGAAGTCCAAACAGCTCTATACATCACTAGTGAGGCCTCATTTAGAACATGCTACTCAGTTTTGGTCTCCTTACTACAGGATGGATATAGACTCATTTGAGAACATACAGAGAAGAATGACAAAAATGAGTTACTGTGTAAGGAATCTCCCGTATGAAGATAGACTTAAAGCCTTAAATCTCCACTCTCTGGAGAGACGTAGAATTAGGGGAGATATCATTGAAGTGTATAAGTGGATGACGGGCATAAACAAAGGAGATATTAATAAAGTACTGAGGGTGTCGAACCAGGTAAGTACCAAGAATAATGGATTTAAGTTAGATAAATTTAGATTTAGAAAGGACATAGGTAAGTACTGGTTTTCTAACAGAGTTGTGGATGCGTGGAACAATCTTCCCAGTAGGGACTTTGGGCAGCTTTAAAAAGAGATTGGACAAATATATGAGTGGGAGGGGCTGGATTTGATTTGTGTCATTAGGTACGGGAGTAAATTCTTGGGTAGCTTTGGGTAGAGGTCACTTTGATAAAGACCTGCCTTTTATGGGCCAGTAGGCCTTCTGCAGTGTTCCTCCATTCTTATGTTCTTATGTTTTTTTGCTTAAGTAACATTAAGAGAGAGTTAAAGAGATACCTTAATTTCTCATCAGATTGCTTGAAGAGTCAGGTTCATGGATGTTACCAGAAACTGTGGTTGTTATGGTGGGTGGGAGGTCGACAGTGAAGGAGGTGCTCCTCCACCACAGTCTCCGCAACACTGTCAATGCTCTCTACCTCGCCCTCCATGATTTCAACCTTCACCTACCACCTCTCTACCAATACAAACGGCTTATGAAGAATCTCACTCAAGAAAGTAAGTAGACGTCCATATCTCTATTTTTAAGTTTCAGGAAAGGAAAATTTGTATGTAAAAAATTAAATATGATGCAGACGAGCAGCTAAAGCTTGGATTTAATAGGAATGGGGGAACACTGAAGAAAGCTTACTAGCCCACACAAGGCAGGACCTTATCAAAACCATCCATTATCACATGTAATTATCCAACCTTTACCCTAAACTACCAAAGAATTTGCTTCAGTACGTCAGGTACTGACGTACTGATACCAGATGTTACACCTGGGGACTTAATTTGTCACGTGGGTACTACTCAAACCCAGCATTCTCTCACTCAGTCTCCGTCTATTTTTAAAGCTACCAAGGTCCCTAACTTTCATTACCATACACGGCTTCTTCCACAGATACAAACGCTTTGAAATTAAACCAGAATTAACCTACGTTCCTAAATTTTAAAATTTTAAGTTTTCGGAAAGTAAATTTGATGTCAAGTTAATTGATATTACCTCTTCTAATTTGTTCAGTAGAAGAATGAAACACTAAGAAAGACTTATAGCAAAAGGAAAACCTTACAAACATATGTTGCAGAGGAATTGAAATATAACGCTAAAAGAGGGAGTTGCTATCTTATATCAATGTACTGAAGTTGAACCTTATGCAGCAATGGGATCATTTCAGGAACGTTCATGCGCACAACAGTGGCTTCATTATACTACGAATTATCAGCGTTTAAGAGAGGCAAGGTTAAATTGATTACTAAGCAGTCTCCCAAACGACGACTGTTTGCAAACCAATTTGTAGAATGTACGCAAGGCAAAGTGGCTTATATACTGTAGTGAGGTTTGAACAGCTGAGGACGGGTTAGTCGGTATACATTCCTATGAGTAGGTTTGTCAAATTGAAACAATGATTGACTGAAATTTTAAATTATAGCTCAATTTTGGCAGTTGGATGAATGCGTCAAAAGACGTGAGGTTGTAGATTGAACATTATGCAGCATTGGGAACTTTACTATGGAAACTGTTTCGCACAGTGGGTTCACATGCTCATGTCCAATACAAAGAGGAAGGCGTAAGGAGAGGAGGACTATGAGGTAATCAGTCCCTCAAACCTGGAGTCGATGTGTTCAAGATCCATCAGTCTTGTAGATGTGATGGACTGAACACATCGACTCCAGGTTGAGGGATGATTACCTCATAGTCCTCCTCTCCTTACGCCTTCCTCTTTGTATTGGACTGATGAAGCCACTGTGTGGCGAAACGTTTCCTGAATAAAGATTCCCATATGCTGCATAAGTGTCTCAATCTTCAACTTATCGGTTTTTCAATCCATTCATCACAATCAATATACTGTATTCTAAGTAAAAGACCAAGTGCAACACTATGTTAACATTGACTGCACTAATTACAGTTAGTTGCACTTGTGCCCTTTAGTTTACATATTGTCGGATTATTCTACCAATATACAGTCAATATAACTGACGTTAAGAGGGAGGTTAAAGGGCATAAGAAAAGCTAAAAGGATTATGAAATGAAAGTTGCAAGGGGATTTCAATTTCCGAAATTTTTTCCTTGTATATAAAATGAAAAGTTGGAAAAGTTAGGTCACTCTAAAATTCAATCTGCATGGCCATCTTAATTGCATCAATGAGAAGGTCTATGCTCGATTTTTTACAAAAATTTAATTTTCCTCTCGGATTTCATACAGGAAGTACTCTAACTATATCCCAGTCAATTATTATTTTTATATTCGCCTGGAGGAAGATAAATTGATGTAATATCACATGTCAGTAGGGATATAGTAATCTCTATGCCTCCCATGTAGACTGATTGAAGCAAAATAAAGTCCCCAGCACTAAGACCTTTTTTTCAAGGGCTTTAATAAACTTGTGTGATTCATTAACTAACATTTTTAATTTATCGCTTCAAATAGGTGTAGTGTCTGACATGTGGAAGATGGCCAATAATTCCTATATTTAAAGCAGGAGATAAGCCTTTACCCTCAAATTATCGCCTGATCTCAAATGTAGGCAAATCACTAGCCTCGTATGGGCCAGTAGGCCTTCTGCAGTGTTCCTACATTCTTATGTTCTTATGTTCTTAAGTCATCTTGATGAGAATAATCTGATTAATGGTACTCAGCATGGAATCACGAGGGGCTGTTCCTGCCTAACTAATTACTAACTTTCTTCAATAAAGGTTTCGAGGCTGTTGATCACGATAAAGAATTCGATATTATTTACTTGGCTTTTAGTAAGGCTTTTGATAGAGTACCTCATCAGAGACTGGTAAAGAAAGTGGCGGCACAATACATGCTGCTCAAAGAACATTTATCCCTTATAAAGAAATTAGATCAAATAGAAATGACCCAAAATGGATGAATAATAGGCTGAAATATCTACTAGGGCATAAGAAAGGAATTTATAGGCGTATCAAAAGAGGCGAGGGTCATCTTATGAATCAGTATATTGACACTAAGAGGGACATTAAAAAGGGGATAAGAAAAGCTAAAAGGGACTATGAAATTAAAGTTGCTAGGGATTCTAAAACTAACCCAAAAAGTTTTTTCCAGGTATATAGAACAAAAGTCAGAGATAAGATAGGTCCCCTTGGCAATATAAACACAAATGCAGTATAATGTGATCCTTTATTGACTACGTTTCGCCCACACAGTGGGCTTTTTCAAGTCACAAACAAAAATACCGGGGGTGGAAGGAACGCGAGTATTTATTCCGGTGAGGTCGGGTGAAGAATGATGTATTGTGATGTACCGGTTGGGTTGTAGAGTCTAAAAAACTTGGGTACTATCAGATGCATCTTTTCACCTGACCTCAGCCGGACTTAAATACTCGCGTTCCTCCCCCCCAGGTAGTTTGTTTGTGATTTAAAAAAAGCCCATGTGTGGCGAAAGTAGTCAATAAAGGATCACATTATACTGCATTTGTTTTATTTCCCATTGTGTCGGTTTTTATACCATTTATACCTTTTATTTCATTAGGCCCCCTTAAAAAAAACTAGGGCATTTATGACAAAAAGAGAATGAAATGTGCTCGATTTTAAAAATTTTTTCCCCGGTTTTTTTACACAGGAAGAATATAGTGTTCCGGTATTAATTTTTTATAGTGGGCCCAAAAGAAGATAAATTTGTAAATCATGTCACTAGTAAAATTGGTTGTGAAGCAGATAGACCGATGAAGAAAAAAAGTCACCGGGTCCTGATGGGGTTTTTTCAGGGTTTTAAAAGGAATGCAAATTGGAAGTCTGTGAACCTTTAATAATATTTTTAATTTATCTTTCAAACAGGTGTGTGTTGATATGTGGAAGAGGGCTAATGTAATTCCTATTTTTAAAAAGGGGAAAATTCTTACCGTAAATTTACCCCCCCAATAAGCCTGACCTCAATTGTAGGAAAATTATAAAGTCAATTATAGCTAAAATTTATGAAGCCATTCGAAGCATAGCTTGTTAATGATTCGATGGATTCACAAGGGCCGGTTTGTCTAACTAATTTATTAATTTTTTTCAGTAAGTTTTTGGGCTTGACCCGATAAAGAATTTGATATTATTTATTATTTTTTGTAAGGCATTTGTAGTTCCGCACCAAAGATGTTAGAAAGTAGCAGCCAGGGCATTGGGGGAAGGTGCTTCGTGGATCGAATCATGGTCACAGACGGAAAAGCAGAGAGTGTCCATAAAGGGGGTTAAACCCGAGTGGGGATCAGCAACAAGTGGGGTTCACAGGGACAGTCTTGGGCCCTGTTGTTTTTAATTTTATCATGTCTTGATGAAGGAATTACTAGTGTAGAAAAAATCGCCGATAAACCGAAGTGGGTGGATAATTGATTAAAAACGAGATGTTAGGGAACTTCAGGAGGATTTAGAAAAACTCTACTCTTGGTCAAAAAAGTGGCAGTGCAGTTCAATGTGAAAAATGAAAGGGTTTCTGAAGCTGGGAAGGTCCAAAACCCCTGACTTATAAGAAAAATAATGTAGAACCTAGCGATACAATTGCAAAAAGGATTGGGGGTTAGGGTAAGCAGAAACCTTAAACAAGACAGAAAATGCCAAAATGAACTTTTAAAAATGGTTTTAAAATACCGACAAATTGTTGGTAAGACACATATGAAACAGTTGGGTATTTTTTTTCGAAACTTTTGCCTAACAGTAGGCTTTCGTCGAGTACAGAAAGTTGTAGAAGCGGAAATATGAAGACGTTAATCGTCCATCCCCCTTAAAATTTTTTTATCCCCCCGTTGGGGGGGATGACCACCGTTTCAGACAAGGAACAATGCTTTTCCAGACTGAGGGACTGACCACCCCAAAACTTTAAGGGGTGGACTGATTACATCGTCTTTAAGTATCTTCGTTCTATCAAATTTTTCTGTACCGATGAGAAGCCCACTGTGTAGGGAAAAAGTTTCGAAATAAAGATACCTAACTGTTCATTGTGTCTTACCTAAAAACAGCAATGCCCAAGGTCGTAATGGCAAATAGATTACTGGGTTTTATCAAGAGTGTAAGCAAAAAGAAGTAGAGGGCATTATGCGTTTATACATCATTAGTAAAGGCCTACCTAGATTATGCAGCTCAATTCTGGTCTCCTATTACAGAATGGACATAAATTGTTAGAAAACTTTAGCGTAGGAGACTAAATTAATACTAGCATTAGAAATCTTCCTTTTGAGAAAAATTGAAGCTTTAAGTTACATTCACTTGTTAGACGAAAAAAATGAGGGGAGCCGATCGAAGTGTTAAATGGAAGATAGGGATTAATAAAAGGGGGGATTTTAAAAAGGTTTGGAATATCTCTCCAAAAGAGAACCGCGTAATGGATTTAAATTTTGATAAGTTTGATTTTTGAAGGCATAGGAAATATTGGTTTGGAAAATGGGTGTTGATGGTGGAACAGTTACTAGTTGGGTTATTGAGCTGGATTTGGGTAGTTTTCAAATTTAGGTTGGATAAGTACATGAGTGGGAGGGGTTGGATTTGAGTGGGACTTGCACATCAGAGCTTATTTCTTGGGTAGCATTGAAAATTGGGTTGGTCAAATGTTTGTTAGTGGGATGAATTGTAAAGGACCTGCCTAGTATGGGCCAACAGGCCTGCTGCAGTGTTCCTCCTTTCTTATGTTCTTATGTTCTCATGGCAACTTGGAAAAGTGCTGTAATTGATCGAGTCATGGTTCACCAACAGGAAACTGAGTGTGCACTGATGTAGTAAAATCTGAGTGAGGCTATGTAACATGTGGCGTTCCTTACGTATCAGTTTTAGGCTTTGAAACAAAAAGGGAGGGGTCATGTTAGCCTACACTACTCATTTGAAGATTATAGAAAGATTTCACACTCAATTCCTTATTAATATATACTAATATTTACCACCACAATACTTACTGGTGTACACGTGTTTGTGTGTGTGTTAGCTTTTACTAGCTTGTTCTTAGAAAAAAAGGGGGGTGGGGTCACTATAACACTATTCTACGCTACTCTTTTAAAGATTATAGAAAGATTTCACACTCTATTCCTTATTACATATACTAATATTTACTATTATAATACTGGTGTACCCGCGTGTTTGTATGTGCGTGCTCGTTTACTAGCTTATTCTTTGAGAAACGGGGGGGGGGGGGGGAAGTAGGCTACACAACTCCACTGAAGATTTTTTAGATAACTTATTAAATATTGTCAGGGCTACCCCTATCTATCTCCTGGCACTGAAAGTTAGGGAGAGAATGATGCTATAGCATACAGCCAGCAGGGTGAGACACTAAGACTAGACACCAACCAAAATTGCTGCCACACATAGGCAAGTGATGTCGTCGGCACAAATGGAGGCTCCCGGTGATGGCTTCTATAACTCCTTCAGTTTGTAACTCCGTAGCTTTTATCATGCATTCAAGTTTTTATTTTTGTTAATAACTTGGTATTCACTCTTTCTTTAGTATCATGGTCATAACAAAGTGATGATATTAACTGTAGTCACAACACCAACTGCTAGGGATTGACTATTTTTTTTTTCTTTCAGTATTTACCATATGACTTTATAACTTCACTGCTGCTATATCGACCAGTTATCTGCATTTATTTTTAGTTAAGGTCCAACCCAGGACCATTAAATATGTTTGTTTGATTATGTGCCAGCAGCCTGACCAGCTGATTGCTACCCTCCATCACACAGCTTCCAGTAACACCCGCATTCAAATTTAAATTGTAAAATTCTTGATCTTATTACATTATTCATACTCTAGAAAGCTGTTACTTTCTTGTAGGTATGTTCACTGATACAATCACGTACGATGACCGCTAATGCTCCTGGGAGCACTATTTGACGATACTGCTTCACGTGTGTGTGTGTGTGTGTGTGTGTGTGTGTGGTGTGTGTGTGTGTGTGTGTGTGTGTGTGTGTGTGTGTGTGTGTGTGTGTGTTTTGGTTTAGATTAAGAACCACAAACTTTATTATCCAGGAGGAAAGAGAAGAGGAGTGAAGGTATACAGACGGTGTTTGTTCTGTAACAACGGTGAACCTGACGTCCAACTTGTACACTTGGGGAACCTCCACTCATTTCATCTAATAACTGACAACCTATTTCTTGGTGAGTTATTATCGTTTTTATTTATGACAAATACATTCGACGTCATTTTTGGTTGACATTTTTCTGATTCTAAGTCAAATGTTTTGTGAATATTTTCTGTTCTATACTACACTTTCAATCATTCTAAAATATTTCTTGGCTTCCAATGCATGCGGGAGGATGGTGTGAAATAACTCTCCACACGCGGGTTCGAATCCTGCTGACCACGATCTTTCTCTGTATATACTTCCGTTTTGCACTGGTATAAAATCTCCTATGAGGTCAGAACATACTTTAAGAGAAAGAAAAAACCCAGAAACCACACATGAGACTTTTGGTGTGCCCGGGTCTAGGAAGAAAACATGGCTACATAGCTTTCTGTGATATCTGTGGCCTAGTGGTCTAAGTTGTCATTCGAGAGCTATGCCACTCTCCACACGGGGGTTCAAATCCTGCTGACCATGATCACTCTGTCTCTTTCCCCCCCCCCCTCTTTTTTTACACAGGGTTTGACTAGGTTAAGGATCCCCCCTCTCTCTCTCTCTCTCTCTCTCGCTCTCTCTCGCTCTCTTTCTCTTTATCCTTGTATTTATATATGTCGTGCAGAATAGGTAAAATGGTCAATTAGCAAAAACTCATTTGAAATTAAGTCCTTTCTATAATTTTATTTTATACGTTTGAAGATATATATGCACACACAACACACACACACACACACACATACATATATATATGTATGTATATATATATTTATATATATATATATATATATATATATATATATATATATATATATATATATATATATATATATATTTTATATATATATTCATTTATGTTTAAGTAAAAAATTAATAATTTTGTAAAAATAACCTTAGAAAACTTATCTAGCCTAATTAAAAACAAGCGCAATTTAATTTAGCCTTATGTATATATATTATATATATATATATATATATATATATATATATATATATATTCGAGTGTTAATGGCATGTGTAATGATTTTTTAGAGAATGTGAAATGGTGTCAATTTTGGTGGATACAATGTAGCTGTTTGTGAAACTTATTTACTAAAGTGTAATTTTTGGGGGGTTGTAAAGACGTAATTGTTGGATTCTTGTGTTGTAATTTTTTCATGTTTGTAACGTAATTTTTGCAGTTGTGGATGTATTGTTGGTGTTTGTGCTGTATTTTGATGACTGAGACGTAATTCTTGTCGAAAGTGGATTATTAAAGTGTAATTTTTTCGGTTATTGAGATGTAATTTTTTACTGGGTGAGTTGTAAATTTTTGGCATTGATTATGTAGCTTCTGGGTAGAATAAAAAAAAATACTAGTGAACTCTAGCATATCACAAAGTGTGAAATTTGTTTAGATATCATTGAAATGAGTGTGTAATGATTTTTAGAGTTATGAAATGTGTAAAAAAGAAATGGTTGTCAGAGTAATGAAATATGTAAATGTTTTCGGGATAAAGAAATATGTTTTTGATGTAATAAAACAAAATTAAAGAATGATGTTTATTTCAAAGCAATATTAGTAATGATTGTTCAAGTGTGTTAATTTCAGGATAATGATATGAAAAATATAATGATTTTTTGATTGTAGTGAAACGAAATGAAAGTGAAATGCTTTATTATAGGGTAATGGAATGAGAGGTAATGATTTTTCAAGTTAATTAAATGAAATGAGATGTTTTGTTTTCATGATAGTGAAAAATGTGAATATTTTTCACGGTAGAGAAATGAATGTTTATGATTTTCTGGGTAATATAATGAATAAGTGTAATGAAATCTTGGAGATTCTCTCGTACAAATTAAAAAATATATTAACTTAGTCTAAGTTGGCAACTCTTGACTGAATGAATGTTTTGAACAAATTAAAAAAAATTATGGTTGTATTTGTTTGTGTAAAGTTTTTAGAGGAGAATGTTGTGCATGAAAAAAACATACCACGGGTGGGATTTGAACCCGTGGCTAGCTGGTCCAGTGGCTAACGCGACGGTCTGGAGTTTTGAGACTCTCTGACCGCGGGTTCAAATCCCAACCGTGGTATGGTATGTTTGCAATCGTGTCATTACGATTTCGTGAGTAATGTTGTGAATAGTGTAAGGTCAGGTTTGATCTAATTGAATGTCAACATGGTAGGCTGTAGGGGAAGCCTATGAACAAATTTGAAGTGTAGGAATGTTGTCACAATGTGTGTTTTACTTAGAGTTTTATTTACGTAGAAATTATGATGTAATGGTAAAATGAGATGAGGATAAATGTGGGTTGAAATATGTAATTTGTATGGAGTGTAAGAATTTTTTTTAGTCTAATTAATGTTTTCTTATATTAGGAATGTATGAGAAAGTATAGACGGAATGGAATTTATGTATATTTTAGGGGCTCAAGAACGATGTAGTGTATATTTTTGGAGATTTGTTTGTGTAAATTTTTCGTATTCATAAGGTGATGTAGTGTATATTTTCATGATAGAAAAACGAGTTCGTAATGAATTTTACGAAAGTATAATGAATTTGTAACGAGTTTTCATGAGATTTTTTTGAGGGTAATGAAATGAAATGTGATGGTTAGAAGTATGTTTGTGTAAAACAGTTAAGGGAAGAGAATGATGTGTTTAGTGTAAGGTCAGGATTGATAACATGGAGTGTTATTATGGGGAATTTTAGGGTCAGTTTATACTAATTTAATATTAAAATGTATGCTATGTATTTTTTTTCGTTGTGCTCAGATTGACTATAACTGAGTTATGGTATGAACAAATTTTTATTCTGGCTATTTGACAGAAAATGACGATGTCGTAAAGGTGTTTGTGTTTGTGTGTGTGTGTGTGTGTGTGTGTGTGTGTGTGTGTGTGTGTGTGTGTGTGTGTGTGTGTGTGTGTGTGTGTGTGTGTGTGTATAAAGTTAATTTTTACTCCATTATGTCTTAAGATTTGCGTAAATTCATTTATGAGTATTTAAACAGTCTTCAAAATTCATTGATTCTTCTTAAACTGGTCAAAATTAAAATTTCTCAAATTTTTATATTTCTCCAGACCAGTTTAGCAATTTTAATGGGCACATGTTGAGAGTTTCATCAAATAGATTCTTCCCGTACACTGACTACACGTCTGGAACTGGTGAACAAGATTCCCTGGTCACTCTCACAGACTGTATGGATAGCAGACTGCTCTCTGTTTTCTCCTCAGCATACAACTTCAGGTAAGAACTTTTCAACACACTGGCCGTCTCTCAGGATGATCCAAGAAAGAGGAATAAATTTAGCCGTCATTTATTCAGTCATTTCATGTCTGAAGCGTTCTGACATTATAGTTCACATGTTCTCTGAATTGAATTATCTTCCTACCATTTGTCAGAGTGCAGGCTCTGAACTTTCCACTTCCATGACTCAAGTCCGATCAATCAGTTTCCCTGAATCCCTTCATAGATGTTACCGTCCTCACACTCCAAGAGTACTGCAAATCGTAAAAAAACAACTTACCCCTATTAAAATCTAACGCATTCTCAAAATTTTGTTAGGTGTCCAAGCCCCTAGCACTCAAAATCTATTTTACGCCCTATTTTGCAATCCTTCCAAGGGCGACCCTTTCTTTCCTCCAGTCCAGATCCATACACCTTCCTCATTAATCTATTTTGTTTAATCTTTTTCCGAACTACATCAATAACCTTTCTTCAGCCCCCTGAATAGTACTTTTTGTAAATCTTCTCCCCAAGTCCTTCTAATCGTCAAGGCTCGAATTCTCTTCACAATGTTCAAAAAGAATACATTGACCTCAGACGCGACATCTCCACTGCATCCGACCTCCTCCTCACTGTAATGTTTTAACTCGTGTCTGATACCACTCTGCTCTGGTACATTGCTTTGGTTTTTGTCTTCTTAGATTAAATTCATGGTCTCCATAAAAATCATAGTGAGGCTCATCTCATCTTTCATAAACCCACCCATCGACAAGGCCAATTACAAATATCTAAAAGCATTTACTTACTCTAGTTTTTCTCAAGTCTGATATCCACTCTTTCCTTCCCCAGATTGTTTTGTTACACTCTTTACCTTTCTGCTCCCCATGTACACTTTTAATTTCCATCCTTTAAAAACTCTAACAAATTTTAATTCTTTCACCACTCACACAACTCCACCACTTATACAACCTCAATTTCGTATCAGATTCGTTGTCTTTCAGTCGCACTTCTCTCCCCAACATCCTGCCATTAACTACTTTTAAACCTTCATATGTTAATATGTTAAACAACAATAGTGACAACACAGTTCTCCTTAAGGTCTACTTTCACTGAAAAATAATCTCCCTCCCCCATAATTAGCCTAAACTGAGTCTTACTATCAGCATAAACAACTCTTTGCTGCATTTTCAAACATACAATGTTTTCAGACATCGGCTACTTTGTCACTCTATCCACCCTGTCATATGTTTTATCTATATTCATAAAGGGTTAATATAATTCCTTCCCTTCCTAAATCCTCCTTGTTCCTCTGAAGTCCTACACTGTGTCTTACCCACATTTATTTCAGATAACTTTACCATACACTTTACCTGGAATAATTAACAGGCTTACTGCATTCCCTTATAATTTTTACACATTCTTGTTTTTGCCCTGTTTTTCCTTGTACGAAGGAACTAGGCATTCTCTCTGCCAATCCATTGGTACTCCCATTTTCATGGATATATTGAACAAATACACCGATCACTCTAAAATAACATTCCCAACTGCCTTTAACATTTCTGTCTTGATTAAGCTATGCCAGCTGCTTTAAGCATGTTTATTCTGCTATCTTCCTCACGCATATTCCCCACCCTCCCATCTGGCGTTTTCACATTTATATATGATGTTATACCTCCTTGTCCAATCCATGAAAATCACTGCCTCCTTTTTTTCATCAGTAATAAATAATTCCCTAAACTTGTATTTCAGTCGCTGTGCGATCCGAGAACATTATTTGAATAATAAATTTAATAAGGAACTTATTAAAGGTTGGATGAAAATAAATGCATATCTTTCTCGACTGTTTGTTTTATAATTAAAATTGCAATTTAATAAAAATTAGTAAAGCTTTGTCAATATCTCAATAATAGTCCACATTCTACAATCAGGCTGCATATCACTGTACCTTCATCCTCTTGTAGTGATCTAAAGTTCACCAGTTTCTCAACTTTAGGCAATCTCTTTCAGGTTGTGTTAAAAGACAAATAAATGGTATGTGTTTTAATCATTTTTCTGTATAACTAAAAAATATATTTATATATTTTTAAAGTATTAAAATAATTCGATTTCGGGATATTATGCTTCTCTGGCCTGCATGTTGACCACGTGATAAACACAACGATATGGTTGAGAAAATCACAACTATGAAATTCCACTTTTTCCAGTTGGGCTGAAGAAGAATCATCACAAATCACAACTTCTGTTTTTTTTTACTTTATTCCTGACACTCTAGAACACTTTACATAATTCATTCTCTATAAATCAGCAGCATGGAGACTCGTGAGGCCCCGGAAAGATCCTGGGGATCAGAAGTGGATGGAAAATTTAATGGAATGTTGGGAATGCTCCAGAGAGAAGAGGCCGATTTTGGTGGACCAATTGGATCAGCAGCAAAACGAATGAAAGTAATGGAAGAAGCTAGTGCATACGAAGTTGACATGTTGTGCTTAGTGTCTCTCAATCCCTCACCACTGCCACAATACCTCTCAATAATCAGGCCCTTTACTGGTGGGTTTTAAATCATTTTTATTTCATTTTAATGTTTATTCTTTATTGGTGACAATATTATTTTAAATATGCAGAACAAATCACTAATTAAACACTTACAAATAAAGTTTCTGAGATAATTTTAAACTATTTCTCTATTTTATTTTATTCTAAAATAGTGGTTCCCATCCTCTATGGAATATCTGAGTGGCTCCTGAGAGGCCGCTCAGACATTACAGGACAACAATAAATTTGCTACTTATGCATATCAAAGTATTTTAAGATAATTTAGCATACTGACACTGAACCTTAAGTTAGAATTAACCCATCTCGTAAGATTTTGGGAACACAAGTGGTTGTACGTTACATGAACAAACTTGCATACACCACTGAGAAAAGTCTTGCGGTTGTCTATTTCCGTGCACTAACATAAATCCTCATCATCATGTCTGGTTGTCTGGAAGAGTGGGGAAGCATCACCTGTTTTTAAATTGCATTTCTTTGCCACATTCACTTCTCTGTTTATATTTAATTTCTTTTCCTCAGTTATATGTGGTATCTATTTCAGAATAACATGAACTCACGAGGATATCTGAATCAGTGTTACAGTTTTTCTACGTATATGGCAAATATACCACATGATCAACGAAAATTTAACAAATCGAGCCAAAATTGCGTGAAAGCACTGCACTGGTTGCAAGGTAGTTGATCAACATAAATACGAGCTCCTTGCATATTCTGACACAGCGTTGAATGGAAAACTTACATTAATGCCATATGCAGCCTCAATGCTGTTGCGAGAACAGATGAACCACCTAAATGACTGTTACTTCTACATGGTTAACGTGTGTTGGTTTCTCGAAGAAAAAACAAAAGAAAGATAGATATCCAGATTGTGAGTCAACATTAAAACTTGTACCACATAGTGAGGACACTCCTTTATATGTTCTATTTGTTGACTATGACACAACGTGATAGTAATAAGAATAATAATGATAATAATTTACTAAGATCTTTGTTTCTACAAGTACATGTACAAGGTATACAGGCCGAGCTGATATCAAAAACATACTACTATATAGAAAGCCGCATTTAATGCAAATTAGGTCAATTTTGTACTAGGATGCGACCCACACCAGTCGACTAACACCCAGATAGCCATTTTACTGATGGGTGACCATGGGCAACAGGTTCAAGGAAACACGCCCAATGTTTCCAAGGTTTTTATGAACCACAGAATCTGAGATTTTGCGTAACGGAAGCCTTGTCACTTAATTTATTCTTCAATCGTTAAATGACCTTGTGAGAGACCTTGATTTTTTTCAAGCAGAAGTAACAACTGCTTGGATTTCGCTTTCAAGAATGGAATCTTTCAGCATAAAAAGCATACATATTCCATTTTTCGTGCAAACCGTACTAGTTTGGAGGCATATGTACTAAATGGAAAATGGCGTGTGTTTCTTCACATAATATGAATGGGTCTTATCGATGGAACTTGTGCTTTGAACAACGTTGTTCTAAGAGGCATATGGAGATATATGATCATTTAATTCCTAGTCAGGCCCAGTTTGTTGAAAGTCAGTCAAATTAGAATGGCTATCACTCAGCCAGTAGCTCATGATGTGGTTTAAAAGCATGGTGCGGAAACCTTTTTTTCTTCCTGCCAAGAGAAAACCATTTTGGATGTTTATAACAATGCATTCGTGGGCCATGACAAAATTATTAACTTAAAAATTAAACCTTGCTATATTTAGGAACAAATATTTAAATAACTCACGCCTAATGTGAATGGCTATAACTGCTCCTCTATGGTGAGTCGTTGATGTTTCTTAACTGGTACTGCTGATGTTGCTACTCGCAACTTGCTTTTCACAGGTTTTGCGGTTCGGTCAGCTGGATCACAGCGACTATTTGCGATGTTTAGTTTTGGAAAGAAAATGCTCGCAGCAAGTAAGTAGTTCCCAGCACAGATGCATATTTCAGTGTATTTGTGCTCCAAAGTGGGAAATTCAATCATTGCATATGTAACGTTTAAAGAAAATTTTATAGGACCGATTGGATTTTTATAAAATATTGCTAAATTACTCGTACGTAAAAATTATCAGTATATACCTTCCAAAATTTATTACAATTAAAGCTAAAAGGTAATTGTCATAATTTCTGCATACTTATTTGGATGTTAGTTTCGTATTATCATTTTTCATCTATACAGTGTAAGAGTCGGGTATGTGGGGGAGGGCTAACATAAAATTTTTATGATGCTTTAAAAAAGAAATCTAGAATTACTGCACTTCTCGAGTCAGCCTGTGGTTGCCCTTGGCAAGGGTCAGACCCATGTTTATTTTGTGTGGAAAAAGACACTTATGTACAGTTCAGGACATTTATTTAAAGGAAACGTTTCGGGCCACGAGTGGCTTCTTCAGTCCCTAATTACAAGCTTCTTCAGTCGTGTATTAGAACTGAAGAAGCCACTCGTGCGGAAACGTTTCCTTTAATAAATGTCCTGAAAAACTTACATAAGTGTCCTTTTTCCACATCTGGTCGGTATCACCATACCAATTTTTCCCCATATTATTTTAACGGGCCTTAATACAGCCCGCGGGCCGGATTTCCCCAACCCTGCTTTTAAAGGAAATGCAAAGGGTCAGACTAAACAAAACCAACGACCACGATGAAAATTTTGAGAACATCAAAGTAAGAGGGTTAATACTGATCACCAACTGGTTACCACAAAACACATGTGCTTCCTTTCTTGAGGAATAATCATAAAATAAGAACATAAGCAAGGGAGGAACCACTGCAGCAGGCCTGTTGGCCCATACTAGCAGGCCTTTGCAATTCATCCCACAACAAAACATTGCACAACAAAAACGATGCTAACCACTTCAGGAAAACTCAGTTCAAGGAATTATTCAACAAACAACATAATGCCACTGATGCAGCCTTTAAAATTAATTCCTATTCAGCATTATGAAAGGACCATGGATGGTAAAGGTGTGGAATTATTACCTGAAGGAAAAATCTGAGGAGGTTTAAACATACAGGCCAACTTAAGGCAGAGACATTTGTTGAGCCACAAACACATGAAACAGGAGTTTTTTTCCTTTTAGTCACTGCGATTCCAACATAATAGGAACTTGTGGAGCACTGGGTTGCAGAAATCTGTGAAAATGCAGTTTCTGCTTCATTGTTATGCACTCGAATGCAGTTTATATATGTCTTTTCATATTTGTCTATCCTCTAATATTGCATTGCGATTACCACGTTAATTAGCCTAAAATGAGAGTAATCAGCTTTATAGATTAAATATTCATTTTCATCTTTCCCATTTTCATTATAAAAGAGGTGTATATATTACATGATGAATAAATTTGGATCATTTCACCATGTGTAACTGACCATTTTATATTTGTGTGGCCTCCATCTCTGCACTACTTGCCCTGAACGCGAGCTGACATCAAGGGTGTGTGTGGGGTTAGGTAGTACAAACAACACCTCTCTGTCTAAGAAGGTCTTCTACTTAGTTTATTTTGACTGAGAAGTTATCCACAGACATATATCCTTTATTGTGAGGGAAAAGTTCAATAAGAAGGTTAGAACATAAAACATAAGAACATAAGAAAAGGAGGAACACTGCAGGAGGCCCTGCTGGCCCCATACTAGGCAGGTCCTTTACAAATTCATTCCCACTAACAAAACATTTGCCCCAGACCAAATTTTTCAATGCCACTTCGGCAAGCAAATACATGCTCTGATGTGAAAGTCCCACTCAAATGCCAAACCCCCTCCCACTCATGTACTTATCCAACCTAGATTTGAAAACTACCCAAAGTACCGCAGCACTCAATAACCCAACTAGGTGACTGTTCCACTCAATCAACTACCCTATTTTTTTCCAAACCAATACTTTCCTATGTCGCGCGTTTCTAAATCTAAAACTTACCAGTACTATTTTAAATCCATTAAACGTCCTCACTGCGCGTATCTCACTTATGCGGAGAGACATCCACAAGACCTTATTAATATCAGCCCTTTATTTATATCCTTCTTCCACTTTTTACACTTCGACAGGTCCTTCTCCCTCATTCTTCGTCTAACAAGTGAATTACACTTAATGAGTACTTCATCTTTCTCATAAGAAGATAGTCTGCTGCTAATGTATTAATTTAGGTCATCATATCGCTGATGTTTTCTAACGAATTGAGATATCCAGTTTTACTAGTAATACTTCGGTAGACCAGACTGAGCTGCATACTCTAGGTGAGAGGCCTTACTAATGATGTATAAAAGCTGCTGAATAATTATGATACCTCTGGACCTTCATTTGCTTACACTTCTTGATATAAATCCCAGTAAGATCTATTTGCCTCTATTACGTACCTAGTAGGCATTGCTGGCTCGTTGATTTAACAGGTGAGTGCTCAGTGCTAACACCGATAGACCAGCTCCACAGTTCCTTTTCGTGCCAATCTGTATGTAAGGTTCTTACATCATTTAATTTTTAAGTACTCGAGTGTTTATGCACACTTGCAGGCATTGGTCCCAAGCCTCAGAACCTTGCATTATCTACATTGAACTGTGCAATCTTGCCTCACTTTTTCCTGGCGCCAAGCATAGAGTTTGTTTAAATCCTCCTGAAGTTCGCCTAACATCCTACGTATTGAATCAATTATCCTACCTATCTCACTTCTTGTGTCATCATCGGCGAATTTGCTCATGATCACTAGTAAATATCCCTCATCAACGACTACATTGGATATATATTATAGAAACCACAACGGTGCACCCAAGTACTGACATCCCTTGGAACGCCACTTGTTACAGATCCCCGTGCATCTCGGATGATAACGAATCTTCTCACTTTCTCATGGCCATCTCTACTCTGCTGGTCGCTGTCAGGTAGAGCCATGACTCTACCACGAGAGCACTTTTTTTCTCCCCATGACATGAGGCTGGCCACTTTTCCCTTTAACAAGTTGCTACATCGTTGCGGAACTCTATCAAATAGCTATACTAAAACA